TTAAACCAAATGACTCACAAACATTAAAATGTCGAGGAGAAATTTATCGTAATATGCATAAATATGAAGAAGCACTTGCAAATTTAAATAAATCACTAGAGATTAAACCAAATGACTCACAAACATTAGCATTTCGTGGAGAAACTTATCGTCAGATGCATAAATATGAAGAAGCACTTGCAAATTTAAATAAATCACTAGAGATTAACCCAAATGACAAATTTGCCTTAACATTTCTTGAGAAACTCAATAAAGAGTTAACTAGAAAATAAATTTAAATAAAATTATCTCTAATGTTCTTATTCTTAATATAACGTATTTATTTCTTGCTCTGAATAGAAGAATTAAATTTATACTTAAAGTCGTCTATTTAAAACTTTCTAATTTCAGATTGATCGAAAATTTAATAATAATATCATAAAACGTCTCAATCAAGACTAGAGATGCGCCGTTTATATGATACCCGAATTTTCATTTGCGTGCAGTATGTATGGTATTGCATGTATAATTTTTATAAAATTTTATAAACTTACAAATATAGTGTTAAACAATTAATCATGAACTTTTTTATTAGTGCGAAGATTTGTATACTTGATCAAATTAAAAAAAGTAATAATGCAACTTTGAGTTGTTTGATCTGAATTTACGTAAAATGATAAATAAAATACAAATTTATAAATAAATATATTGCTAGTAGTCAGAGTTTTTAGATTTTGAGGTATTTCATAAATTCATCGCAATGCACTTCTTTTCGAAAACTTACACAATTTATCTATGACTATTGCTTTTATTTATTCATGTTGGCTTAGTTAGTATGATTTTTTTATTAATTAATTAATCATTACATCATCATACCTACATCTAATTCATTTGATTATTAAGGTATACGATACTATTCAAATTCACTTATGTGCACGATCATTTGAATACCACTAAATGAAAACCAGAAAGTTTAAATATTAAATATCTATTTACGTTAATTTATGTTTAGACTTGGCAGTATTCATTCTTTGTAATACAAGGGTCATCTAATAAATATGCCATTTATGCACATCTAAGATTTAAAAAGATAGATAAAATGGTATTTTTTTAAACGTAATAAAGCAAGATCAGAGAAATGTCTTACAAAAAACATTTTTAATACTTTTTGTTTTTTATATTAAGCTGTAATTAAAATTTTTGTTATTACTTTTACTTTTCCAAAACTAATCTATTATTTTTAATATTCAAAAAGAGATTAAAATAATGTTTCTGTAAAGAGATTTTATTATCACCACCCATTCAACTCAATGAATTTACGTAAATGTATTAGTTCAGTATATGGTTAATAAACTGTACAATAAATAACGAGTTTCTTTAAAACAAAAATAGTGTTAGAATGCACGAAAATCCCGTTTAGCGTTAATTTTTGTGTACCATTCGACTGGGTTGCAAATAAAAAAAAAAAAAAAAAACAGAGTCAAATCCTTTTCGATTATTTTAATATTGCTTTGTCTATCATTTAATAATACGTTTATACTGATGAATGTTAAGCAAACGAAAGTGCCTGAAATAAAAATGCCAAGAAACGAAAGTGCTAGAAAAATGAACATGCCGGAAATTAATTAACAGGATAGCGTGGGAAAGAATTAACGGGGATAAGAAAATTTAGATAAAATGACAGTCAGTAAAATTGTTATCAAAGAAGTGATTGTAAGAATAAAAATACCAAAGAAATGAATTTAACCACATGAAAACTATAAAATATATATGTATTATTATTATTACATGCTAAATTTCCTGATTTTTACTTGGTGACACTCAAATGATCGTGACCCTTTAATAATTAATTGTGACGGCTGATGCTGAAGTTTGGCTGATGTTGAAGCTAAAAAATCTGATTGGTTAGGGTTAGGGTGATCTGCAAAATTTAGCCAATCAGATTTTTTAGCTTCAACATCAGCCAAAATTCAGCATCAGCCGTAACATTAATTAATAAATGCTTACTGCAAATAAATGAAAAATAAAGACGCAATGATCTAATATGTAAATTATGTAAATTACAGCTGTTTTCAAAAGGAAGACTGCACCCATTAACATTGTTACAGAAATGAAAAATATTTGTTAGTTCTTTAATGATCTCTAGTTTACCTTTGTGGCAATATTTATATGCTTGTGAAACAATACATATATTCGCACATGATATTTTAAAATCATAGGTTTCCTAATAACTAATAGAAAATAGAAGTCGGTATAAGTTCGAAACAAATAATTTTTTCAATACAGTATATACAGTCAGCATTCTATTAAGAACAACAATTCCGGTGATAATTTTTGCACTGTTGTATACAGTAGTAATATAATCTACATATAGAACACAGTAAATTTTATCATAAGTGTTCATGATAAACAACATAGGATAATAAGTTTTACAAAGTTTGACAATAATAAGGGTATTGACCATGTTACATACGTAAGTGCGACAGTAAGATATAGCTTTGCTATGTGATCATTTTACTGTTATACTTTACCATTGTAGCATTGTTACATTGTTTCAAGTGTGACCCAAGTGCGTACTTACGTCATATGTCACATGACAAAGTTTTTATTTCTGCGCAGAACTTGTTTTTTATTATGAATGCTTTAGTTTACCATAAGAAATAATTCATAAAGATGCCTAACCTATAAAGCATAAGAAAAGCTTAAATCATACATTTGTTTAAGAAAACCTTAATTAATACCTCTATAAATATACCTCTATAAATATGGGTGATTATTTTTGAATCCAGACCAAAATTTTATTACGTCATAAATATAAAATTGGTCCGGATTCAAAAATAATTACCCATATACAATATTGTCTATTATTATTCAACCAACCATAATAAGCATTTTACTAAGAAATGTATTACATATATAACAGGTATCATATCTATAACTATACATTATTATTCAAAAAGGTATCCCTTCATAACACCAAAAATAACACCAAAAATCATCAGACCTTCACTCTAACGCTAATGTTAATGAAAGTCCCAGCCATAAATAAAATCATTAAGAGCTTGTCGTTTAGGATAAATCATAGTTTGACCAAGTTGTCTAGCTCGATATCTATTAATCCTCTGAGCGAGATTGGTAAAGAATCCTTTCTGAAAGAGGTTAAAACCGCGCCAAATATATTTACCAATTCTTCGAATAATGTTGCGCCTATGAATATTCATCAAACTACACGCTGGCGTTATTGTAAGAAGCAAAACATCAAGGCCCAAAACTTTGATATTGCCATCGAAATTTCTTGCTAATTCTTCTGTGTTTCGAGGTGTAGGATGATTGAGCCTTGTGATTATCCTGATTCGGTTAGCGAGTGCTGGGACATTGATGTTATTAATATTGCGTGCTGCCATTTTTTATTAGAGGGTAAAACAAATCTATGGTAATTAATGATTGAATATAAGATAATTCTATAATAAATAATGCTTGTTAAAAAAAGACAGGACGGATCGGAACGTTAGGCTTTATATAATAATTCGTCCCAAAGACCTAGACTCAAAGACCTAGGGGCTTTTTTCCATAAACGAACTAATTAACATCAGAGAATCATATAAATAACCAAATATGATGATAATGAAAGATACACGTGTTTAGCCTGATCATTTACTGATTATTTAGGAGGTGAGATTAACCTCCTTTCGTAAGGTATAATTATTTAAGAGTCACGTTATGCTATCAAACTTTGACAGCTACGTATCACAAATAAAACATATGAATTATTTGTACTAAATGTATCATTTTTCAATGCAATTTCAATGCAATGTTATTTTTACACAAGGTCATTTGATTATTTGCATGATATTTGTATAATAAATTTATTGTAATTACTTTTTTGGTGAAAAAACAGTTAGTTTTTGATGATAATTTGTCTAATTTGCCAATGGGGAATATCATCCCATGATTAGCTTAGTTATTGTTATTGTGCTATATTAAATATGTTTAAAGCTACGCCACAGTCTCTTAAATTACAAAAAAATTTTTTATAACAGTTAATGTAACTATAAATTAATTCTATGCAACACTATTTTTTACATCTATATATTCAATTCTGTAATTATTACAGTTTTGGCATTCAACATTTCTTGATATAGCGAATACCATAGCCTGTAACCTGATTATGTCAATATATTTCACATGCTATCACATTATTGGGAAAGATTTGAGATTTGGATTATTAATTTTAGTTACGACCAATGCACAACCCTACATACCAATACGTAATTTTTTTCAAACAATTATTTGTTTTGAGAGTTTAGGTGCATTGACTATAATTACGACCCATATATAATCCTACATACCAATACGTAAAATTTTTTGTTCAAACAATTATTCGTTTTGGAAATTTAGGTACATTGTTTACTCAATTAGCAAGTGCCATGATTATTAACTACAACATTTTTGGGATGAATTTAGTTTTAACAACCAATTAAAAGCATTAAAACGCATACACTCAGAATTGAATATATAGATAGATAGATTAAAAGCGTTAAAACTCACACTCAGAATTGACTATATAGATATAGATATAGATATAAACCACTCCAGTTTCAAACTAAAATGATTTATATGTTTTATTATAGTTTGAAGTACTCCATTAACACCCCTATAGACTAGAATAAACATCCTACAGAACCTGATCCCAATTCACGTAGTGAATTCCAACCGTAGTAGTGTTATTCAGGAAATTAGTATATAATTAGAATACAAGATATCAGGAATAGCTATTAAGAAGACTTAGTAGAATATTACATACTCGCCTAATATGTCTTTTCTGACAAAGATCTATAGTATATTACACAATATCTAGGGTTTATCTGTTCATAGTATGCAAATTACGAATTATCAAAAATAAATTTGTTATATTCATTAAATGTAAATGTTGTACGTGGAAGCGGAATTAAATGGAAATGGAATTTTTATATAAACACAGAATTTTGGGGTTGATTTTATCATATATACACCCTTACCCTAACTTTAATTTAACTTGGAAATTCCGAATCCACTTAATCTCATTCCCACTTACAACATAAATATAAGGTTTGATTAATAGATAAGATGATCTACAAGTCTAGTAGATATATAATAAATATAACTATTAAATGATAAGATAAATATAACTCTTAAATGATAAGATAAATATAGCTATTAAACAAAGGATGATTCTAATTGTAACAGGGGCAGTTACATGTTTATTTGTAACAACTTATTAAATTACTTGCCTCAACCAATTATATATTATTAACCAACTACAAAAGTGTTACATGTAACAGTTGTTACCTACTAATTTATTTTGTCATAATTAATCCTACGGATTTACTTTGTTCGGTTACACAACACCAAAGAGAACATTGTTACAAAAAATTATTTAAATATAAAAATTTAGGGCTAGAACGGCAAGACCAAATTTTCAGATTATTATTTCTTTTTCGGCATTTTTAATAGTATTCTGTGGTTAGTATGTACTTAGATGTGCTAATTTTAGCCAACTTGGTGACGTTTTCGAATGATCCTTTAAGCTTTGTAGAAACCTTACCAATCAATGATGTTTTTAAATTTATCTAAAATAGTAAAAAGGTTATAGATGAATTATTGTACAAGTTGAAGATAAATGACAGCATGTATTTTTACGTGAAATATTATGTGTAGGCATTTGATCTTGTTAAAGCCTACAATATTGCAAAAAAGAAACGTCTTGAAAATCATTGAATTAAATTATATACTATTTCGAAAATTGAAACATATTCCAAGAGCATGAATGGTTGAAATGAAAATTGCTTTCTACTAATGATAAGTTTTTATTAATAAAAATTTATGCAGCAAATTTTTGCAAAATGCAAGTTTTTAAGACTACCTAAAACATCAGTTAATACAATTCACGTATTCAATCGGATATTACCAAAACTAACTAAATTCATTAGTCGACATTCCGATGATAAATCATTTGAAAATTTTTATAATATGAAAACATCCTTTTGTAGTAGAAAGGGCACAAACAGCCTCGGGAAATCAATAGTAAGATTTGGCAAACGTCGATTAGTATAAAAAAGTTTTGAAAAACTTACACATTACCCGAATTATTAACTAATAAAACACTAAATGTCCAGATAAGTCCGAATACTATAAACTTGATTATCTCAAAAAAAATTTTTTTTTTTTTGGACTCCTTCTACTACGAAGGCATCCGTACTATATGGCGTTTTTTAATTATATCTTTTCATTTAACTAATATTATATAATGTTCTGATTTTTAAATGGTGTTATTGATGACTTTGGTGGTTATGCTAGGATTAAGTGTAACGAATTCATATGAATGAAGTTCTTTTTAAAGTAAGTGCAGTCTAGTTTAATATAAGTGCTGACAAAATAAGTTTCATTATATACATATATATACATTATGTTATGTATTAGCATTTAGGTGGCACTCCTACGTATTACTACAGAACAATGCAAAAAAAGATTAGTGTTGTGCAACATTTCAATATTGTCTTGTCACATGATATGTAGATTGGTTGTACGTATAAGTTTGTGTGACTTAATATGCACATTACATTCTAGCTTAACACTAACTATAAGATAAAAGTTATTACTTAAACCTTTCGTTTTATTTTTGCTAGTGACTGAGTTGTTGCCCAATCATTGGGATTAAATGGGATGACCATTGAGAATTCCCTATGTAAAATGTAGATTTTAATTTAAGCCAATCAAAATAATTATGAAAAGCACGGCACTTGAGAAGTAGTGAGATCGTTATTTATAAAGAGACATTTATTTGATTTTCTTATATAAATCGATTTCTCAAGTAACTTATTTATAAGCCTCAGTCAGAGCACTCTTTGAGAATGTAAATTTAACATTTCACTAACAAATATTATATATACAAAACTTTAATTTTATTCACATCGCAAGAACGTTAATGTTTACTGTGCAAGAGAAGCAAGAGAATCAAAGATTTGAAACATTGTTTGGCTAACCAATACTTACTATTTATTACTAGCTATATAAGTACTAAATGCAAGAAATAAGGATGTTTGTGGAAAGTTTTTATTTTAAAGAAATCACTTAAAAAGTTATTTAACTTATTTTTAAATCCAAAAATATTAGCAAAATGATCTTAACGATTATATATTAATTTAAATCTGTATAAAGTTAACTCATTATGCGGATATATAAACTTGATTCAGTATAAATAAACTATTGCATAAGGTAAAAAAATTGCTAGTATTTAAAACTTATAATTAATATAGAATAAAGTTTAGTTGATGATAAAGTAATAAATCACTTGTATCGAATTTTTAAATTAGTTTGATTGGTTATTTATGGTCACGTTTTGATCTACCAACCATATGAGATAATTATCCAAAATTATAAATTTTTACGTAATGAAAAACAAAGAATACGGGTTTAAACCGATTTTGAGTACTTGTAGAAAATATTTGGAGAACAATTTTACTAAACAATTGTTCCAAACCAGATTTAACCCTATTTTTGATTACTTCACTCTAGAACCACTAGATAAAATTCCAAATAAGGAAATTTTAATATTGGACCGTTAAATTTGTGTTCAGAAATTTTATCATCAATTTATCTATGCTACAAAAAGCTCAACTTATAAACCTAATTATCCGGAGCGTGGCGGAGGATATTATGGGAGGAGTAATAGGCCAGATTTTGTATATGTTTATGTCTGCACCTATTTTTACCTATTTTTAGACAATTTATCAACCAATACTTTATTTTTAACTACGCTCTGGATCTAACAGTTTCTGTTTTCTTGGTATATAGTCGAAAATAAAAAGTATTCATGAATGAGTGTATCAGATTTACTACATGTTACCAATGTGTCATGGGATCTAATAATTATTGTTCATGTGATATTATCACTAATCAGATGCGCTAGTTCAAGG